CGGCTCCCTACAGACCTCAGGCAAATGGTGCTGCGGAAAATGCGGTGAAAACCATTAAAAAAGTTATAAAACGGGCGGTTTTTGAAGGGGAAGATATATTACAGGCAATAAACAGATTTTTATTTCAATACCGCAACTGCGAACATGCCACAACCGCGGTGTCACCTGCAGTGGCATTGTTAGGTCGCCGTTTACGCAGTCGCCTGGATGCTTTACGTCCCAACACGGCTGATGTGGTGCGAAGGGCTCAATATCAGCAGGTTGCCAATTCCGGGGGTTCGGACCGTAATATAGCTATAGGAGACCGGGTGTTGACTAGAAATTATACACCAAAAGGGGGCAAGTGGCGTGAAGGAAAGATAGTAAAAAAAACGGGACCCGTTTCTTATAGGGTCAGCATGGGGGATGGAATCGAGTGGAAAAGACATATCGACCAAGTGATACCAACCAATCGTAAAAGTCGTTATTCCCTTTCAAGGCCTAGCATTAGCGAATTAAAAGAGACCGAGGAGACCCCACACCTGAGGCCTGATAGTGGCACCGATGACTTATTTGAAGATGCAACCGGAGAGGGCAATGACCAGGACGAAAAAGGCAGTTCGAATATTACAGATAATGCAGAGAGAAACTCCTCGTCACCGCCTTCACCGAGTGTATCGGCTCGAGCACTGCGTGCTTATATTCGAGCCAAGAAAAAGGAATTGTAATTATTTTCTTTTTTTCTGTGTAATAGGAAAGAATCGGAATTAATGTACAATAACATAACATCCTTTTGTTGGATGATATAGTTAGATGTTTTTATTAAATAATATGTCACTTAGTCATTTAAAGGGGGGAATGTGTAGGGTATATGATAGTTATTTTCGTTATTGTGTATGTAGGTAGTGGGTACCAATAAAGCTTTCAGTTCGCTGTTCAACTCCGCCTTTTATTGACGTTACAGTAATCTACATTACGTTGTGTGAAACCAATAAAACAAAATAAAATATCTGATGGTAAGCAAACGAATGTATTTATTTTCGTTGTAATGTCGCAGCCAACTTGCTTAATTAACCATCCAGTTGACGGACTCACTTTTTACTAAAGAGCACCGTTCAACTAGTGACTTGAATGATATTCAGCCGATGCTTTTCATATCGTGTCACGTAATATCAGTGAAAGTAGGTTAAGGTGCGGCTCTTAGGCCATCCTGGAGCCGCACACTCTTATATATAGCAATATAGATTTGCGCGGCTTTAGGGTGGATCGAGGGCCACGCTAGCCGCACCTTAAACTACTGTTGCTGAGGCCGCGAGTTAAATGGCGCCGCTTAGTAAAAAAGCTATGCTGTTAACTGAAAGACTAATTTGGTTACGATAGAAATATTTAATACTCTAAACATTTTGGTATTAAATTCTGGAATGTGGTTGAGTTAGTCGCATAATTTATTGTTCAAACCCGACGCCATCTTGCATATGCCAACTTATAATAGCTAACTATCAACAAATATTACATCCTACTAGTAACAGGTACAAACTGTATTCACCCATGTTGGCCTTTTGCGCATTTGCTTTACGGACATAAGTAACCCGACGATAAGTGTGTTTGTTCAACAGGTATTTTGCTGTCTCTAAGTTAACAAAATCATTACCCACTACACAATTACACATCGTTTAAATTTCGTGCACGTGTTATCTATCAGTGCTCTAGTTGCAAACATTTTCTGATCTCATGTTTTTGCTCTTAGCCTTTTGGATTTTACAGCTTCATCGGTCTCAGGGCTCAGCTGTAAAAAAGGAGTAAATTTAAAATATTCTGCATCGTTACTTGAGTACCAATGTTCACCTACCTCAATTGAAAGTGCACCGTAAATTAGTTATCTAACGGCGAACAGGGGGGGTTGGCGGGCCCCGGCTATGACGGCTAACTCGTAACGTTCGATGTTGTGGACGGTGAGAACCACCCAGGGACGCGGGTGTGCGGTGTGCACGCGGTGTGTATGTACGGCGCGCCCGTCTGCGGACTCGCTGCCTCCCATCCGATGTGCTAACTGTGTTTGTGGCCGTGGGTCAGAATGTGTAGTATTTGTGTGTGAGTGGCCGGCAAAATTTGGGTCGTCGTGATCTATCAGATCAGAGCGTTCGATTAAAACAGTACGGGACCTTTGCAGACTATTCGTAACGTTTAGAGTCAGGGCGAAGTTGGCTGCGTTTACTACTAGATGGTTGGGATGTGTCTCGACCCTCTCAGAGTAGCGCAGGAGACAATTCATTGAAATATTCAGAGATCGTCGGAAGTTGACAGTCTGTGTGCAAGTGGGAGTTTCGCTGGAACCACTTAGCTCAGGTGGCTTTGCGGATGAATCTATTTTGGATGACTTGGAGGTCGTACAAATTGTGATGGGTAGCGTGCGCGAAAACAACGCTTGCATAGGACATGATAGATCTTACGCAAGTTTTTTTAAGATGGAGCTTGTGTCTTGGGGACAGTTTGCTGTTGCTGATTCGCTCCGTTCGAAACCATGCCAAAATGGTTTATGGAGCGAATATGTTTTCTGCAGTTTCCCTGGTTTCGGAATTCCTATAACATTTGCTTTTATCCAGGCATCCGGGAAGGAGTAACTGTTAAAATGGGCGTTAAAAATGCCAACTAGGAGGCAAACAGGCGGTGAGAGTGATTTAAGCACCCTGTTGCTAATGCTGTCAGGGCCGAGTGCTGATCTCTTTTTTAAAGTTTATAATTACCTCTGTGACTTCTTTGACACTCACAGGCTCTAAGGGGTCCCCCGCGGGTAGTAGCGCGTATGGGCGACCCTGACCTACGCTCGACCTCCGCTCCGACCTCTGCAAGGTGGGCGGGATCGATGAGATCGCTATAAGAGATACACTGGCTCTTTAAAAGGTCCTGAGGCATTCGGCTTTTTCAGAGCCGTCAAAAAGCGAGGTCGGGGCGTAATGACAGGCGGCATGGGTGAAGACTGTTCTGCTTTCAGAGCAAGAGTCATCTGCCAGAAGGCAGTTTGTGACGGCTCGATATCCTTCAGCAGATTATCCCACTTATCATGTTTACATTCAACAATATGCTGTTTTGCCTCAGGACAAAAGAGAAAAAATTTCGACTGCGCAAATTTTGTTCTCTTTTGTCCGATAGTGATCGTATTGTCTTAGGGCCATGTTCTTAGCTCTGATCAGCTGTCGAAAATCACTCGGTAGCTTCATCGATCGCTCAACACCCGAACCTATCGGGGTATTCTTAGACCGTTGAGGTGAGGTAGGCCGATAGGGCGCTAATCGCCTTCTTGGCATCCTCTGGCGAGGCTATGTTGTCGGGAATCGTGTCTTAATGCTGGCAGGCGTAGACTCGAGTTTAGCCTCGAGATTACGCCAGTCCACGATGGTTTTGGTCTGAAAGGGCTGGCCTAGTTGTATTAGGACTGATCTATGGTCCGAGTAAAGTTCTAAGATTGTTTTGATGGATGTTATCGACAAACAGACGTCGTTCAAACGGAGACGGTTTATGACTGGGAGGGAACGGGTTGGAGTCTCGGGCGCGATAATATGGAAGTTTTGTCGCTCCGAGTAACGAACAATGCTTTACCATTGGAGTTGCTTGTAATCGAGTTCCAAGAGGGATGCTTATTGGTGAGGTCTCCAGCTATTATGACACTGGGGCCTAGGTTTATAAATTCTAAAATGTCATAATCAATAATGACCTTTAGAGGCGGTTGATACCCCGAAACGATGGTAAGTGGTGAAGGGCCAAACAGAGAGCTACGTTACATATATCTTGTATGTTAGTTAACGGGGAAGCGTCGATCTATCGACTACAAAAGTGTGACTTAATCGTCACACTTGTCAGGTGAATTGTCCATCACAGCACCAGACGTCGCGTACTAAACGCCTGGCGTAAACAAGATGACTGGATGGACGCCATCGGATCCATCTTGTTTTTACGTCCAATAATATTTAATCAAAGGCAGTTCTTCGTAATTGATGTCGACTTCATACTGTGATCATATCGACTGAGGTGAATATCCCGGAGTCTAGTGCCCATAATTTATTTCATGTTACGAACATATTCGCTTTATTATTGCGAAGCTATTTTCTTTAGTACAATCATTAATTTGTCACGCAACGTATGTTTTTATGGGTACAATTGGCGTTATAACGTGAATAATAATTTTATAACCATTGTAAACAATTTGTGTTAACTCTAACTCTTTTTATTGAATAGTATAGGACTATGACATCACTAACAAAAGTGGAGTTTTGATATAGGTAAATTCATGTCTTTATCTTGAATCTGCTTGTTTAAAAACATAATTGTATAATTTTGACTCGATCATACTTATTTGCGAAAACACTTCTAAAAATCACTATAGTTGAAATTACAACAAAAATTTGTGTGGGTGGTGGTGTAAAGCTTTTTTATTTTTTTTTTTGTTTGTGTTTTTGGCATTTTTTTTTGAGATTTTTTTTCGCCCCCGCCGCTCGGCGGAGTCGCTATTTCCTCCACCCCCCGGGGTTTTTTAGTTTTTGGTTAATTATTTAGTATATATGCTTGGAAATCACTCAAATATATTCAAAACATCCATATTTATAATTTACTTGCTCATTATTTTGATTACTTATATAAATAATTTATAAAAAAATTTAAGATTCTGACAATTTCTAAGCGGTCTTAATCGTCCCGGGCGCTACGCAATTTTAGACCCTGTGACGGCATTTCTTAAGTTTTTAAAGAAATTATGTATTCACTCGAATTACGAAATAATTTCTATAAAAACTTAAAATCGGTGCCCAGGAGTGCCAAATAGTACGGCGATAGCCTCCGGGCCACTTTTTCGATTTGTAGTCTTAACCCTCGGGTCGTCGCGTGGGGTCTTTCAAAACCCAGGTATTACAAAATCAATAAAAACCTATATTTAAAATATTCGTAGTGACTCTGCTCCTTAGGTACCTTCCTGAATTGAATTATATTTGGCACGCATCACGGCTAACTTCAGTTCATGCGCAGGCGCTATGTGGTACGGATATGTTTGTGTGCGCGCGGGCTCTGAAAGACCCCACGCGACGAACCGCGTAAGTAAAATTTTCATAACCTATTATTATGAAATTTTCGTAATACAACTTTTTTTGTTTTTTATATTATAATTTCGTTGATAATTAATATACTTTAATTTTATTGTATTAAATTGTGTTTGTTTACATTGTTTAAGATTACTTTTATCATCATTTTATAAAAAAAATAGACGAACAGCAGCAAAGACGCATATTGAGCTGGCTAGAAGAAGATGTCGATGACATCCTCGGTGGTGGTGATGATGAAAATGAAACCGGAGTGTTTCCTGATAAAGTGAATGAGCATTACATCGACTCGGAACAAGAATGTGAGGATGATTTGCATCAGGTATTTTCGAATTATGATGAATCTTTGGAAATATCAAACGAAGAGCACTTGGGTTTGGGATTGGTGAACGAATCTATGGCAGCCCTCGAATCTGCGTTGTGAATGAAGAACCATTGATAAATATTTCGTCCAGTAACTTTTACATAGTAAAAAAAGGTAGAGAAACTACAGTCGAGGATATATATTACGACTTTGCTGCGTGATTTGAGACAGACAATTAAAGAAGATTTGTACCACTACTTGCGAATATCCAACCTGAAGTAAACGAAGTAAACATTCATTGGCACGACGCCAATGAAAAAGCGATGTATTTACTGTCCTCAAATAACAGACAGGAAATTTAAATGTATTTGTCACTTTTGTGCGGGCAATATTAGCCCAACACATACTAAAACAGTATGTACTGAATGTGTTCATACTGAAAATTAATTTGTTTTCATTATGTCAAAGTCTATATGTTTTTGTGATTAAGTGTACCAAATTTTATATTAAAAGTTATACTATTTCATTGTGATCTGGATTACTTAAGTTTTTATAATAGATTTTAATTTCTGTTGATTTTTTTTTATTTTAATTACCTAGTGATCTTATGAAGTGAATTTTGAGTTCCTATTTCTAGTATGTAAGTTAAAGCAATAAATATATTAATAATTAAATGTTTTTGATTATATTGTATTGATATTGAATCAAATAAGACTAAAGTATAAAATAATGTAGGCAAATATATAAATTTACGTATTTTTTAACCAAGTTATTTTAGGGGCTTTCAAAGACCCCACGCGACGAACGACGTTACAAACAAAACCGCGACTAACCGAGGGTTAAAGCCTATATACAAATTTTTAAATAGTAGAGCCATGATGCAGCTATATTGTGGCTGCAGCATGTATCGGTCGGCTCAGTTGGGGAAAGACCACGCCTTAGCAGAATAACCGAATAATGCCTCTGTAGACATCTTAATCATCAGGGGCGCAAACGAATCTGCATTTTTATTCTTAATCGAGCATGGATATTTATAGACCACAGAATCTATACGTCTGTGGTGAACTCTATGCTCTTTTGTTATTATGTTATTATTTAGATATATTTACTTTGCACTCTTCTTCCTTTTTCAAGAAATCCTTCACCGTAACCGCTGTGCGATTGTGGAACTCCTTACCTCTCCATATTCGTCGTGCTAAATCTCTTCACTCTTTCAAAATTCTTGTTAAATCGTATTATTTAGAACGCTATTAGATAAATTACTTTACCTTTCTCTTACTCTTTTCATTTAATCTATTATATGATATTTTATATATAACTTTCACTTACTTTTATTTGTATGTATTGTTGTATTTTTTTTTATTATTTTGTATGCTCCCCTCTATTTGTAACTTTTGTTTGCATCATTACTCTACGCAAAGGTTTTCTGGAAGAAATCACTTTCAGTGATAAGACCGCCTATTGTACATACTTAATTAGTTGTAACTATATTTATGTTTCTGTATTGTGGTGTACAAAAAAGGATAAATAAATAAATAAATAAATATATTTACTATATTTGTACGTCGTTGTGCCATTTGCAACAGTATATTCAGTTAATATTATTAAGTTATAGTTATATTATGGTTGTAACATGAAAGAATCGAATCGACTGGGGAAAATCCACGCTCTCACAAAATAACAACGTGAAATAGCAGCTTAATGCTGCTGTTTTTCGTATGATGATTGTAGTGAACCGGAGACCCTGTTTAATGGTATGGAGAAATATTTATATAAGTTATCAGAGGTTATAAAAGTTGGATTCCTAAACGAGGATAGATGTCAATGAATGAAAAATTAATCCGCACTGCTCCAGTCCGTATTGGTAGTCCATCAAAATGGAATGGAGCAGAGCGGGCATTTATTTAAATTTATATTTTAAAGAAAAATGGAAAAATTTATTAAAAGATGGTCTTTGAATATCTTAAGTCTAAACACAGACAAAGCCACGGCGGGTCGCTAGTATAAAATAATAGACGTTAGGAAAAGTAGAAACGCTAGAAAAAGTAGAAAAGTAGTCTCGTAATTACATTATCAAAGGGATGTAAGTCATTTTCAATACATGATTTAAAGTAGTAATAATAAATGTTATCCTGAATTCTACTAAGCGTGTAAGATAAGAATAACATTGACTCTACTGACAACTTAATTCATTCGTTTATGTGATATCTTGGGATTTAAATAAAAGGAGGTCTTCCTCGTAACGGTTTTAGCTACAAAAATTAACAAAATACCTTACACCTCCAGCTTTAAATATTACATTTATTGACATTAACTTAATAACTAAATTTAAAGTTATAATTTAACTATATCTAACATTGAAATTTAATTACGGGTCGTCGGATTTGCCTGGAACGGGTCACTGGCTGCGACGGTGGCGGTGGTTGTGGAGAAGTGGCGAGTTCTGGTACAGTACAGTCTCGCTGGGACATTACATCTGCTATGGCGTTATCTTTGCTATCAACGTGCTCGGTTTTCATGTCATCCTTACCAGCAGAAACCGCCACTTCCATTTGCAACTTTTAAGACGCGTCTGTGAAATCATCCTCAAGTCCACCACTTCGGATACACACAACATCGGATAGGTGCGACCTATGTCTTATTTGGTCATTGTGTCTTTTAATAAGTCGGCCGTCACCACTGTCGAGAACGTATCTTCGCGAATCTTCTTTCTGGGCTACCGTGCCCTTGACCCAATTATCCCGGGTGCCGTAGTCCATAGCCTAGACAGTGTCTCCCAAAGATAAATTACGCAGAACACCACCCGCATACTCAACTTGACGCTGTTGAGCATCGAGCACACGCGCTTGCATCACGTATTCACCGCGAAGAAAATCGAAACCGTGAACGCAAGGAACGTCGCTGCAGCAGCATCGCTGGGCTCTCAGCCGTGGTGCTTTGCTTACTGTTGCGATAGCTTAGTAAAAAAGTTTGTAAGGTGGTATCAATATCCACGTCATCCCCATAAGCTTTTTTATTGCCCTCTTACACAGCTTTACGGCATTTTTCGCTGCTCCATTAAATGCAGGGTGGTACGCTGGTGAGAACGTTTGCTGAATGCCATTATTTAAAAAAAATTAAATTCAATACTTGTGAAAGGCGGTCCCTGATCAGACTACCTAGTTCTAAGGGCAAATTGAACCTTGCAAATATTGACCTCCTCGCCTTAATAATGGAAGTCGCATTCGTTCGCACTACTTCAATAATTTCAAGACATTTTGAGCTCAAATCTATTAAAACTAAATAAGTTTTACCATTGTACGGCCCTAGGAAGTCTATGTCAACCCTAGACTAAGGATGCAAGTAGGGCCAGGGGTGTGGAGGCACGTGCTGCGGGGCATCCGCCTCGGGGGCGCAGGTCTCGCAGCTTCGGCATAGCGCTTCCACATCCGCATCGATGTTCGGCCACCATACATAATTTTGTGCAAACCCTTTAGTTTTTACGATGCCCATGTGACCGTTGTGTAATTGTTTTAAAATAATTGGACGTAAATATGAACGTATTACCATTCTATACCCCCACATAATCGATCCGTTACCTAAATATAGTCAATTGGGCCTAATAAAATAAGGTTTAATGTCTTCACCAGGGCAAACTGTCGGCCAAACCGATTATAGGAGAAAATTCTACTTAGAATAATATCCTTTGAGGTCGCCTTCGTAACACCCTCATTAGTAACAGGCAAAAAAATTCCACAAAATTAATATAAATAATTTCTCTAGTCATTGTTTTTTTTATTACTATAAGAAATTAGTAATGTAGATAAACTGTCGCGCAGTTTTTAGACGTTAAGTATTCGATATTGTTTATCATAACCAGACAAAAGTATGGCCCAACATTTGATACGCGAAGCGTCCATAACCAGTATTCCCGTTTTTTTTTACCAAATATGTGTGTGGTCTATGGTCCGTACGCAACATGAATTTTCGCCCATACAAATACTGAAGATATTTTCTTACACCGAACACAATAGCGAGCGCCTCCCGATCGATCTGCGAGTAAGCTCGCTCTTGTCTGCAGCTGTAAGCGAGCGTGACGCATACGCCACCGGCCGCTTGCCCTCCGGCGTCAGGTGTGAGATGACTGCACCTACACCTACGCTGCTCGTGTCAACGTCAGCATAATAGGAAAATCTCTAGAGTAATGCATTAGAATTTTACTATAACTCAATAGTACTTTTACCTTTTTTAATGGCTCTTTCACAAACGTCACTCCAATCAAATTTTATTCCTGTACGTAATAAATTATATAAGGATGCAAGAATAGTGCTGATATTTTTTACGAATATTTCATAATACATTATCATTCCTATATATTCCCTTAAGTCAGACACGATCGTAGGAGCGGAAGTATCTACTATCACGCAGAAAAAACTCTCCAAATCATCGCTATGTTAGGATAGTCCTACGTCTAGTGGTGAACTTATTTTGGCTGATCAAGAAGGAGAAGAAGAATAGAGTCAAATATACAATAAAAGTTTAGTTGACGCTATTCTTATTTCTCATTTGAGCCGTGGTAGCTCAGATGATTAACGCTTGCTGTAAATACAACAGAACGCGAGTAACCCGGGTTCGATCGCCGCCGGCACCAATGAAATTGTTATTTGCAATTTTAAGTGCTGATTTACCACGTGCTCGGCGGCGAAGAAAAATATCGTGAAGAAACCTGCATGTCTGAGAAATAAGAAAAAAAATTATTTCGAAGACATGTGCAGCTCGCCAACACGCATCGGGGCTGCGTGGCGGACACAGTGCGTTCCATGCGTGCGCGGCAGTGGGACGTATATAGGCTGTAAGTTTACTTTTACTTTTAGTCTTATTTCTTAAGAAACACGTCGTAATGGCGACAGACAGTAACAAGCCAAGAGATGGGCAGCAGCATCTTCCTGATAACAACAAAAAAAATGTGGCTGCCAAGCGAGAAACTATGACAAATATCGCCCCTATGTGTTCTATAAGCGGCCTATATTCTGCAGTGGATTGTTGATAGGCTGCAGTAACAATAAACAGTGAAAGATGGCTGGCAATAACTCAGAAAAATAAACGTTCAAAATTTATGACTAACAACATACTTTATTACC